GGGTAACCTCATGGTCACAGAATATTTGGAACCCCAGGGAAATAGAAGTGACTTGTCCAAGATCACACGGCGGCTGAAAGCCCAAGAGTATAACACAGTCCACATTTCTGTTACATTGTGGACAATTATGTAAATGCGAGTTTGCTTCTACTTCTCCAGCTTTGGGTGAAATCGAGGCAGTTGCCTCTGAGCACATTTATATGGTCAAATGCAGATAAAGTGGATGCTCTGCCCCATGTGGCGAGTTTGCTTCTACTTCTCCAGCTTTGGGTGAAATCGAGGAAGTTGCCTCTGAGCACATTTATATGGTCAAATGCAGATAAAGTGGATGCTCTGCCCCATGTGGACATGCTCACGTGGGCTTCAGTGACCGGTGAGCAGCCCCTGAGTTTGGGGCTTTAAGACTCCATGATCTGGCCTTCAGATGGGCGTAGGCTGGAGTCTTCCGTTGCTGTCGTTTGCAGGCCTGGCTGGCTGAGGTTGAAGGCAGACTCCCAGCGCGGAGCGAGCAGGCCCGCCGACAGAGTGGGATGTACGACAGCCAGAACCCGCCGACAGTCAACAACTGCGCTCAGGACCGGGAGAGGTACAGTATCTGGACAGCGCCTGCTTTCTGCCAAAGGAGCAAATTTGCTTTGCATTTATTTCTAAATGCTGGAATCTGGAACTGAGCATAAGGCACTTGTTAGATACCAAAATGCCTGTTACAATTGTCCTCTGATTCTTCCCATGGTGCAAATGTATAGTTCAACATGGGATGGTGATCTGAGCATGTGGGGTGGCTTAAGATGGTCTAATTACAACACGCAGGGGTTGCAAGCACTTTGCGGGTGCAGGGACCGAATCCGACTCCTCCCCGGTGTCAGTCGCTATAGTTGCTGTGTGTCTTCCTTTCTTGAGCAGCCCAGATGGCAGTTACACAGAGGAGCAAAGTCAGGAGAGCGAGGTGAAGGTGCTGGCCCCGGATTTTGATGACGACTTTGACGATGAGGAACCCCTCCCTGCCATAGGGACTTGCAAAGCTCTCTACACGTTTGAAGGTGATGCTTCACGTCAGCCTGGTGCCCTGCCTTGTGTAAACTGAGTCCCAGTCACTCTTCTCTTTCTGGGATCAGAACTTTCTGTAGAGTCCTTCCAGATCTTTCTCTATTACTCTTTTGTTTTACAGCATTATTAGTAATTGGTGTGTGTGTGGCTGTATATGTTGACTGTTGGTCCCTATAACTTAACAACTATCAAAGAGCGTAACTGCAGTGAGTGGTGTGGAATAATGACCATTTCATCCATTCGTTTAATATTTATAGAGCTGTCTTGTAGAGGCCACTGAAGGGGTGGGACACGGGTGGTGTGCAGTGGCTCCTGCCTGTAGGGAAACTGAGGAGAGGGCAGCTCGCAGGGTTTAGCAGACACGGGTGCAAGGGACGGGGGCATCCACGGGAAAGTGACAGCCCTTCCTTGCTGAGACGTATCAGAGCCATGGGTGTCGCCAGACACGGAGGTGAGGAGAGCATGGGTTTGTGTGGCTGGAGCTTTTATGCCGTGGTGGTAGCAGTGGCATATGTGCCCGTGGGGGAGGGGAGGGGAGAGAGACATTTGGATTTGGATTTGATTTGGCAAACATTGAGGAGCTATTGAAAGTATCTGAGCAGGCCGTCGATGTGGTCACAGCTGTTCCTTAGGAGCTTAGGAGACTTATTGTCAGACGTGTAGGAGCAACTTGAAAACAAAGAATTGGTAGAGCCTAGCCTGGTGTTTCTAAACTGATGAGCCGTGCAACAGTGTCCTGCAGGACGTTAACAGGGATGCTGGGAACAAAGCTGTCACAGCTCTGGGAAGTCTGGCAGGTCCTGGGATGAATGGATTTTATCAATTTTCTTACTACAGGATTTTTCAGAGCCTTTAATAGAATAGATGTTCACTGTGACAAGCAAGCAGAACCACATTAAATGTCCCCAGTTTTACCTCATACCTAAGCCGTCCCCCCACCAGCCGTGTGACCTCTGTTAATGGCTCCCTGATAACCCGCCTTTCAGAAAACTCTTTGGGGAGCAGGGACTAGTCCTTTGAAATTATCTTTGCAAATGGTCTTGGGGGCCTCGGTTAAGGAATGTGCATAGAAACGCTGCGCTTGGCCAACTGCTCAGACGCAGGGCTGGTTGGAAGTCGAGAACAAAGAGGAGAGGACATCAAAGATGGTTCCCGAAGTTTCACTCATGGGACAGTCGAGATGTCCGATGACACGGGAGAGTAGGGGGAGGATCTAGTTTGGGAGGAAAACCCATGAGTCCAGGTTCACCCGCGTTGCATTTCAGGTGCCAGGGCAGCCTCGAGGTGGGAGTGCGCGGCAGGTAGTGGGAGGGTGGCCCTTAGCTGTGAGAAGTCCCCGAACAGGGCAAAGCGATGCGAGGACAGTCTAGAGACGTGCACGTGAAGCCTCGGGGTGTTCTCACTCCAAGGGACACAGAGGAAGAGCGGGGCAGGGGACCAAAGCCCTACCTTGGGGGAAATGCTTGCCGTCCTGGGAAGGGGGGAAAAGAGGTCCCTGCAGTACTAGGGAAGGCTCCTCAGACAGACAGAAGGTGAGGGCCTGGAAGCTTCCGTGTGGAGGAGAAAGTTCCAGAGCAATGAGGCCGACAGGTCCAAGGGAGATGGATTTTGTAGGCAGCTCAGCTTCTGCCACCCTCTTACATCACAGAGGTCTCTGTCTGTTCTCTACCTGGGCTTGACAAGAAACCTAAACTCTTCTGATCTTGCTTCTTCAGGTCACAATGAAGGAACCATTTCTGTAGTTGAAGGAGAAACATTGTTTGTCATAGAGGAAGACAGAGGTGACGGGTGGACCCGCATTCGGAGAAGCGAAGACGAAGAAGGTTACGTCCCCACCTCCTACGTCGAAGTCTATTTGGACAAAAACGCCAAAGGTGCTAAGACTTATATTTAATACCACTTAAAAAAAAACTAAAAAAAATTGGAGTTGTTTGTCCCCACAACTGTGACTGTTACAGGCAGTCCTTCAACAGACTGGACGGAGAGCACCACAGTGCGCGTCTCGTGCAGTGTCACCGTGGACTCGCAGGCGTCGCACACCCCCTAAAAAAAATTGGAGTTGTTTGTCCCCACAACTGTGACTGTTACAGGCAGTCCTTCAACAGACTGGATGGAGAGCACCACAGTGCGCGTCTCGTGCAGTGTCACCGTGGACTCGCAGGCGTCGCACACCCGAATTTCCGTGTCTAGTTTTGACTATAAGCAAGTTTCACTTGCTGATGAAATTTTACGTGGACAGCTGCCAACTGCCAGTTTGCAACTGTGTCATTCGAAATCTGATAAACATTTCTTCTTTTGGCAGCATCTGCAGATAAAAAAAAAAGTTGCATTCTAGCTTCTAATCAATATTTCTGAATTAAAAAGTCCTCACACATCATGGGGGTTCCGAAGACTTCAGTTCTCTTGTTTATATCCAGCATCCACCATAAATTGAACTAGGTTAGGGTGTTACTTTTTGTAACTTAATAAATTGAACTGTGCTAGTTTGTTAAATTTTACAGTCATTCACTTGGGAAGAAGTCATAAGTAAAATAAAAAATTCCCCTTGAGTAAAGTAAGAAAGATTCTCATATTGGTACCAAAAGGGTGTATTTTTATTTAAATATGGTTAACATCATTGTTAGATCTTCATGATTATCCTGCTATGTCTATATGATCTCAAACAACCGGTTGAAACCTGGAAAAGTTTGGTGGATTAACCAGTTGATTTTTACATGACATTATGGATCCTCCAGCCTCCACCAAGTTGACGACCAGACGTGCGAATGCTGTTTAGACCAGGTTGTGTGACACAAGGCCCATCCACGCCTCAGCTCCCTGTGGCTGTAATTTTCTCACGCTCAGTTCTGTTTCTGTTGGAGGTTTTGTGGCAAGGGGAGCTGTATTCAGTTCACACTTGCCCAGGTGGGGCTATAAATAGAGGTTGGTGTGGGGGCAACGACTTCCGCACACAGTCTTTAAAGGGGGGATTTTTTTTTTTTTTTTTTTTTTTTTAAATCATTGGCCTCTTTAAGACCCAAAGTCTGAATTTACTGGAAATTGTTGTAGAATTTCTGGCTCATTTTATACAATTAACTGTAGCCAGAATAAAATAAAATGTCTCACCCTCTTTAAAGAAATCTGGGCCACATGGGAATTTACATTTTTAAATTGGCACTGATGTGGGAGGGTGGATAGTGAAGTTGGTCACATGCATAGCTGGTTACCAAGCCCAGTGTTTGTCTTCATCGTGAGAATCTAACCCGAGATCACAGAGAACCAGCTGTAGATGGGCCAGAATGAAGGCATCCCATTAAGATTCTCTTTTCATTTGACGTTGAAAATTATTAACGTCCTTTCCACTTTTAAGTAGGAAGTTAGCTCCTTGCCCCTATATTGTGAGCTCATTTTGTAAATTCAAGTTAACTGAGACCTGATTTTAAAAATGACAGCAGCACACCCAGGGCCTAGAACCTGGCAGGAGTTATGGGTGCTTGTTGCTGTGTTTCAAGATGCTAGCAGCAAGTTTGCTTAAATTTCACAAAGGCCACTAAAATGGAATTTAGTTATCTTTACTTAATCACAGCCTGATGTTTTAAAAAACACTTTTTATTTTGAAAAAATGACAGACTCTCAGGAAATTGCAAAGACAGTATAGAGAATAGGCTTCCCCCAGCTCCCAGAGGCTACATCTCACACGGTCACAGTACAATATCAAAAGCAGGAAGCTGACCTTGGTCAGCCTGATACTTTAAATATATATTAACTTTGTAACGCAAATTTCTTTTGAGTACCTTTGCTGACATAGTATCGATAAAGCCTCTCATCCTGACCCCAGGCCTCTTCAGGGGGATTGGTTCAGTTCTCCCTTGTAAATATTACAGAAGGAAAATCAGCTGAGCCTTAAACCACAGGGATCTGTTTTAATGAACAGTAGGAGTTTGCCCGCTTTATGCATGTAACCAAGTGAATGGGAGACCTAAGACAAAAAAATATCCTTTCTATCCCATGATGAACTCATTTCCAGACTGTGAACTACTGGAGGGGACAAACTAAACACTGAAAAAGTATGAAATGGGGCAAGACAATATTAGCCTTTTTAAAGCCTGGTGTTCTTTGAAGTTGTGGGTTCTGTTTCTTTAGAGTTGTGCAAATTTGATTCAGAAAATGTCCCAGCTGGTTTTGTGGGACATGGGGAGGGCTTCAGTTTGGATGCATTTATTTATGATCATTATTTTAAATTTATGATCATTAGGTTGTATACTTCAGTACCTAAGCAGATGAATCTATGTAATATTGACTAAACAGTGAAAGGTATTTTGTAGTTGCAGTTCCATCTAGTCAATGCATGAAGGGTTAGAAAACACTGAAACAATTCCCAATCAGGGATTTCCATTTCCACCAGAGTATACTTTTTCTTCCAACAGTTCTCTGTTAAAATAAAAAAAAGCAAAATCTCACCTATTTATAGAGTTTTCTTTTATTGAAAAGATACACTTGGGGCCGGCCCGGTGGCGCACTGGATAGTGCGCCGCTTGGGAAGCACAGCGGCGCTCCGGGCTTGAAAAGCGTGTTTCTCTTGTTTATTTTCTACCTCTTCAAGATGAAGAACTTTCACTGTTTATTGCTGAATGAACAGAATGACGAGTCTTACTATTCGTCAAAGATTTTACATTTTATTCCTAAAGAACCAAGAGCTTCAAGCTGAGAGAATCAATCTTTTGCGTTTCTTGCACCATTCTGGGAAACTGAGCCGTATCTTTCTTTCTCTCAAAACTAAATTTACTAGATGTGTTGGGGTGGGTGACCCTCGAGTAAAGACTAGATGGGAGATGAAGCCGTGAAAGTTCCTTATCTCAGACGTGCCCTGCGGTAACCAATTGCTCTAAAAACCCCCTCCTCTCCCCCTGCCCCCTCCCCTGCCCCCCAGGGCGGTGCAGTTTGCAGCCAAGAGCAAAAGGCCCGCCTCTAACCTGCTGCCTTCTCTAACAGAGAGTTTCTCTTTCTCTTTCTTTTTGTGTTGTAGATTCCTAAAGGTGGTGTGTGGAGCGAGAGCCTCGGGAGCCTTCAAGGAGAAGCCTCTGGGTCTGGCCTGCTGTCCCCGCAGGCCTGCTGCGCCCTGCTGCCGACAGACTGCTCCTGTGGCCAGTGGCAGCCCGCACAGCCGCCTGCCTCTTGCTCTCTCTTCCTTTCGCAGCATGCTACTCATGGCTTCCGCTCCGCCCGTGGCCCAGGCCGGCCACCCCGTGGGGGACAGTTCTCTCCCCACCTCCACCTGTGCAGGCCGTGAAGACAGCGGGACCCCATGCCCACCCTGCCCTGCTCCTCCCGGGCCCTCAGTCCACCCGGGGCTCGTCCTGGCCCGTCCTTCTGCATTTCACACTGTGCCTTTTGTGAAAACTTCACCCCTGGTCTCCTGGGGAGACTTAAGAATCTGGACAAAGAGGGTCAGACGCACACCAGGTGGACTGAGCACCCAGCCGTCGTGACATGATTGTCACGGTGGAAACACTTCCACTGTGCCTGAGGCTGTGAAGTAGTCCCTGAGCCTTTTCTGGTTGTGGGCTCGCACCTCATGCTAAGCACTGACTCTTTTCAGTGTTTTCTCAGCCTGACAGCGTCGTGGCACGCACTGGGGTTGCACACACCCACATTGTTTGGAGCCCTGTCTCCAGTGGCCTGGGCAGTCACACTGGCTCGTGGGCCAGCCCTGCTGTCTTGCCTATGTCCACCTTCCATGAGGAACACCCCCCACCCCACATTTCCCAGTCCATGAGAACTGCAGATCGTGGGTGCTTTCTGAATGAGCATCTCGCATCTGCACTAGCTCATTGCAAAGTGAAAATTCCTCCTCTTTCCATGAATCCCAAAAGTAGCATCTTAGGATTTTAGTGCTTTCATCACCAAAGACCCTGTGCCTCTTGTGGTCCTTCAAGTGATCCTGTGGCCACAGCTTCTGCGTTTTGTCACGTGCTCTTCAGGCCATGTGGAACTAATCGAGTTTGCTTTTTGAGCTAAGTTTCCTTCCCCTTATGGGTCTTTGAGGGAAAGCCAAGGTCACATAGCCTGTAGCCACTCGCGCCTTGGAGCGGTGCAGCTTCTCTTTTTATTTGGTGCAGAATCAGTCAAGAGACGGAACTAATCGAGTTTGCTTTTTGAGCTAAGTTTCCTTCCCCTTATGGGTCTTTGAGGGAAAGCCAAGGTCACATAGCCTGTGGCCACTCGCGCCTTGGAGCGGTGCAGCTTCTCTTTTTATTTGGTGCAGAATCAGTCAAGAGAAATAATTGGCTGTGAGTTTCTACAAGCGAGATCGCCGGCAGAAGGCTAGGGATGAGGTCAGCCATCTTTATCCTTCTGTTTGGCTTTTGGTAACTATGTGGCCACCTCAAGCATCCTCAGTTCTTGACATTTATGAATCTAAGACAAAGTCTTATAGGAGCCAAAGGGACAGGATGGAAACGACAGGTCCTAAGTTGGCGCATGTGGAAATTAGAAAGCGATTCCTCTCAGCAAACCAGGGTTGACCACACACCACCCTTCAGGAGCAGCTCGGTCAACCCTCAGTGGCTAGAAACCACCAAGCAAGGGAACGCCAAGGGCAACCGTTGGAGAGGAAGCGGCTTCAGGTTTACACAGCAGTGAGCATGAGCTTCCTCTCACTCTTCCTTCCCCGGAAGTGAGGCTAAGCCCAGGGGTCTGAAAACTACCTGCTGGAGAGCCTCAGGGCTGCCACGTGAGCAGCGGGCTTCCGTTCCCTGCAGCGGGTGACCCGACTGTGGCACACTCATCAGTCACGCAAGAGGACCAGCTTGGCAGATGAAACTGAAGCCAGGACGCCAATGGGTGAGAGGAGTCAGGGCCTCACCTCCGTCCCTGCAAACCAATAGGTGCATGGTCAATATGGCAGTCCCAGCAGCTCCACAAAGGGCTCCTCTGTCAGCGGGGCCACCAGGTATATCTCCAGGAACTTCTGAACTTTGCCGAGTCAAGCTAACCACTCTCCACGAGGATGCTAAATGGTTTTTTAAAATCTGATTTTAGAGGCTTGGTAATGCATGTGCATTGCATCTTTCATATTATGGGTCAGGATAGATTAATTTCTTGCAACATAGGGGAAAAGGTTTAAGCTGCAGTAATTTGTCCTTTTTATGTCTGTTAAACTCAGTATAGGACATGCTTGTATCCTCTTGTATCCCCTGCACCTTTTCCCCCTTCTCTGCCAACTGTGTCCAAAAAAGAATGGATAATGAGTGCTTTTAACTGTTTACCCCTGGTGTCTGCTTCGCCGCCGGTCCGTGTGGCTCTGTGGGAAGAGCAGTGCTGCGGCAGCTGGGCTTATTAAAGTTATTACACGATAGTTGAGGGGTATCATGTACTCTGGGAGTCCCACTGTGAGCTCACTTATATGTCATTATGGAGCGGTTCACACAGAGCAGAAACATGGGATTCCCCATGAGCTGCTCACTCCTGCCCCGTGTCCGCTGCCTGCCATTTCTCCACCAGTGCTAGAATGTTGTGTTGTAAGTATGACTAGTTTTAAAAGAACCTGCCCTGAAAATGACTTACGAACAAAATGAGAGGGAGGGACTTGTCATTTGCCATTTGTTCCTTTGCAGGATGGGAAAAAATAAGGTGGCATAGAAAGCCGTAATGGGATTTTCCTTTGGGTTTTTACCGTGCTCATCTCGGAGATGAGCCTGTAGCTTGTCTGTAACCAGCTCAGCACAAAGGCCTCTAATGCCTTTTGGTAACATCTGTAACTATAGAAGAAAGTTTACACAACATGTTATGTTAATGCTAAGTATTTTTCCAGAAATTTTGATTTTATGTTTCATATTGGCTCTGCCTCCTGTGCTTATATCATCCAAAAATTTATTTAAAAAATAATCCAAAATTCTATTTTAACCTGATGTTAAGCACCTTTAAACTTTGGTGTGTGTGTGTTGCACTAATTCTAAACTTTGGAGGCATTTCATTGTTGTAAAGGCTCATTACCATGGTAAAGGTCCTGGAGTTGCCCATTTGTCTCTGGAGATGGAATTAAACCAAATAATGTGCTTCCATTGGAAGGCTTATGTGGACCTTGTAATTATATGTTAATCCTCTAAATGTTAAATAAAAGTAGAACTTCTGGCGCAGTATCACGAGACTGTTTTATTGCATGAAGAGGTGGCCCTAGTGATGGAAGCAGTTGTGTCGTCAGCAGGTGTCGTGCCCCCGGGCTGCGGGGCTGGCCTCTGGTCTGCACTGATTGGCCGTGTAAACCCAAGTCTGCTCAGGGAGAGGACTGAAACCTGGACAGCTGCTACTACCCCACCACACCCGCCCTGGCCAGACATTGGTGATGTGAAATTCAGGTTGATTCAGTCCAAGGACTTGGGAGGCTCCTTATGACTAAGAATGTTTTGCAAGCAAATTCAGTTGGCAGCTACTCTAGCTTTTCAGGGACCCTACTGCATGGAGGTTGGGGAAACAGGGGAGGTGATGAAATCGGAGCATGTTGGAGTTTCATTGATGATCAGGTATCACAAGCGCTCAAGCCCATACTCTCGGGAGCTTGGCTCACCACCAGTTTCTGTGACACTGCAGGCAGCACTGGGCTGTTTCAGGACAACTTTAAAGCGCAGGGGCTTTGTGCCCAGCACCCACTGGATGTGTGCATTGGGAGGCCCTGTTTTCAGGCCAGCTTTGAAAACTTCAGCCCAGGCTTCTGGGGGAAGCTATGATTGGTTTGTGTCCCCACCTCTGTTTCCTAAGGTTTTCTAGAACTGTTTCAGGAAGATAGTTGTCCAGGCAGTGAAACAGCAGCAGCTACATCAGGTGTGGGCAGGGCAGCACTGCTAATGCCAAGTGTCAGCTCACTTGCTGAGGGCTGGGAGGTGAGGTCGTCAGAGGTCAGGCTTAGCCTTTCACAAGTGCACCTGACTGGCTTTTAAAGCGAGGTCCTGACCTGCCAACTCCTCAGCAAAGGCTGTTGCCATTAGCACCGGGGGAGTACGGTATTAGGGAGCCAAACACTTGCCAACTCCTCAGCAAAGGCTGTTGCCATTAGCACCGGGGGAGTACGGTATTAGGGAGCCAAAGCTTCCAAACCATCAAGAATTCATGGTTCTCAGTAAGAGACAGTGCGGTACAAGAGAACAAGGCGGATCTGTTATTGTCCTAACTGAAACCCTCTGTCCAGGTTGTCGGCAAAAGATTGACTTAGGAAGAGTATTTCCAGCATGTTCTTCCTGGACTTTGTCATATTTCAGTCTCTGACAGTCTGTGGGTAAGAGCTGGGATGTTCCCACCTGTCTCCCCTAGGACTTTCCTCCCCTGAAGAGCCTGTCCAGCCCCGGCTGAGGAGCCTGCAGCTGCGTCTTCGCTGACTTGGGGCGCATGGCCCCACCTCTCTGGGCTTCCTCGGTTTGGACCACCATTCCACGTGGCTTGGAGACAGCGGAAGCAACGAGGAGCTGTGTTGCCACACAATTCATTTTCTGTGCACTGGGAAGTCTCAGTTTCAAACAGCAGGAAACTTCTGACTCAGAGACTCCAGTGAGGATGCAGACCTGTGGGTCAGGCTCCTCCAGTAGGTTTGGAAATTCCAGCCCATCCCAGGCACCCCTGGCCACCCCCACCTGCCCTGGGCCTCACCCAGGCCTGAGGCAGTGGAGGCGGTGGCGACCCCTAGTGGGAGCAGAAGGCAGAGCGTGGGAGCGGACAGAACAGGGAGCATCCCTAACGGGTGACTGGGAATGGAGTAGGACAGAGGCGGGGTCAGGTGCACCCCGGAAGCAGCTGGGGAGTGGGGAAGGCTCCTCAGGGCAGTTCCAGGACAGGCGCAGCACCCGCCTGCCCCTCACCGTCTGCATGTCCTCACCACGGCAGGCCGAGCCCTGCCCGAGTCCTTCAGAACCCCATCCCCAGCTCCCGCTCTCCTAACACGTCTTTGGTGTCAAAGCCCTGGAGACTGCATCCCAACACATCCCTGGGACAGCCTTCCAGAACATACTGGGTCCAGAAGGTTTACTGCTTTTTCACGCCTGCCCCTAAAGGTGCTCATGCCCTTGCCACGGCGAGCACGTTTCTCTTTCTGCAGGTAAAGTTGTAGCAGGGAGGAGCCGGAGGGAGGTGGGGTTCCCCCAAGGTTTCCGGGGGCTCTAAATGAGGTAGTGAAAGACTTCCTGGGTAGTTTGTTTGCACCGAATTGAAAAGAGAACAAGGGCAGGAAAGTACACTCTTCCTAAGGGTGGCTGCACCTGGCAGGTCCGTGAGCAGAGCCACGGGCAGATGGAAAGACCTGCACATACAGGTGGCAGGTGGCACACAAACTCCCCCGCTCTGTGGGGTGGCTTTCTGGTTCCTCTAAAAGGTGCTGCCAGAGCCATTCCCAGGCTCAGCCACCGTGAGGACGGCACACTGGGCAAAGACTTGGCCGGCCTCCCTGGCCACTGAGCACTTCCTGTCTCCGCTTGGTTTGAGGTAAACAACCACAGACTCATGTTTTGTCTTCAGATTCCAGCATCTAAGTTTGAGCCCCTAAAACCTGGGTATTTTAAGAAAAAATATAAAGCAAGCATTTTAAGGCAAAATGGCACCTTCCTATTTCTCTCACCTTCCTGTAGTACAAGAAATGAATGTTTCCAAACCTCTGAGATAAATCCTCCAGACAAAACTTTCTCATTCTCACCTTCCATGTTAAATAAGAAAGGTCAATCACAAAATACCATGGGATTCCACATATGTAACCTCTGCAAGTGAGCAAAGCTAAATATCACTTACAGACACATGCACACACACACACGTGGTGTAACTGTGAAGAGAAGGGAGGGACAAGTGAAATGCAGGCAAGGAAATAGCTCTGGGGTGGGGCGAGGTGGCAGGCTGGCCTGGAGGGCCCCAAAGGGTTTCTGTGGGGCCCGGTCATGCTGTGTACCTGGGATGGGCGCTGAGCCACCGTTCATTAACTCTTCACGTTGGACACCCTTCTGTACACTCATGTCTGATGGGATTTCACAGTATACAAAAACCTCAATATCTTGTCTTCCCCAACAAAGCCCCAAAAGTAAAAACTGACCCCACAAAACACACGGGTAGGAAACACTAGCGTCAATGAACGTCAGGGAGCTCACAGTGTGGCACCAAAGCCACGGTGCTGAGCTGGAGCCACCAGCCTCTGCGTGGAAAGGGCCGTCCCCGCCTGCAGCCTAGGATCTGGGGAGAGGCAGTCCCTGCTCGCTGCGTCCGGCCAGGTGGCTTGGTGCCTGTGGGGACCACCCATGGCATACGCTAGCCTGGGCTGGTTCCAGGAAGGAAGGACGCGCTGACAGGCATCGTGAGCAGCTCGGCCTCCTCTTCCACTTCCCTCAGGCAACCTCCAGATGGTCTCTGGTTCCAGAAGGACATGCTGATGCCCCCGCCCGTGCCCAGCCATTTGTAACATGAATTGCTATGGCTCTGTGGCCTGTGAGGCAAAAGACAGGCCTTCCCCCATGGCAGGCAGAGCTCCACTTTCCTTCCAGTGACAAAATTAACCGCAGTGAACTCAGAGACAACAGCGTGGGCCGCAGGGAGTGCATCTGTGTTTATTATGACATTCTGCACAGAAACTAGACCGCGCAGACATGGGGTGAAACCAGCAGTGCAATGTGGGGCTGCCTGCAAAGGACCGAGGCCAACAGCAAGCAGCTCCAGCAGCGGCTGCTGCTTCACTCCACGTGCTGCCTGCCTTGGCGGGGAGGGACAGGAGCCAGGTCAAACGAGATCCCAGAAGTGAGGCCTCAGCCTCTGCTGCAACTGCCTGCTGGAACTTCTACCACTGTCCCCTTTGAGGAGACTGAGGCAACAGCAGCTGCAGGGACCCAGGACACCTTCCCCTGCCCCCAGCTCCTTTGATCTGGATGAAGCACCTCGACCTAGCTCTTTCATCCAGACCCAGCCTCGATGTGCTCAGCAGCTCCCAGCACCCCAGCTGTGGCCTTGCTCCGAGACACTTCCAGGGACCCACTCGTAAGAGCTGTCCCCAGTGTGCACCTCCCTGGGGCGGGGGCTTTACACAGCTCAAGTGTGGAGAGAAAGGGAAAGTATGTTCCCTCTAGTACGGGCCCCCAGGGAAGCTGCTCTAGCAGCAAATGACAGCCATGTGAGGTATTTCTGTTCCATCACCCGGGGCCCTGGTGGGGGCTCGACAGATATTCCACGAGGACGAACGCTCGGCTGCAAGTTACAGCCAATCCACAGCGGGCTCAGTGGACGGGGCAAGGGGGCCAGCCACCCCTAGAAACACCCCCCACTGACAAACCCAAACCCCCTCGGAAGTCCAGAGTCTTCAGGCCACAGTCAGGAAGTGCGGGGTGAAGCAGGGCCATCAGAAAGGACAAGCAGGGGCACCTCACGGCCCGAGCGGTCAGCCACTCCACTGGCCACCTCTGACCACATCCCTCAGCATGTCTCTGGGGTGCAGGGCCACCTGCACAGTGGCAAATGCCTGTACAGCAGCAGTTGTTCCTGACCTCTGGCCCAGGCCACAGCCTCTGATGAGGGGTGGCACCAGGCTCCAAGGACAGACGCTGGGCCCGAGCTAGCAGGAGGGCAGACGTGGGGGACACAACAATGAGAGTGACTGATGTGGGCACTACCAGGACAAAGACCCAAATTCATGTCAGAGTCTTGGTCACTGAAAAAGCCGAAGTGAATGTATTTCCTAGCTGCAGCGTTACTCACTGTGACCGAACCCACTGTCCTGCCTCTTTACACATCTGGGTGTCCCCAGCGGCGGCCTCTCTTCTGGGCACAAGCACAGCCTCTGCAGGGAGGAGGGGCAGACGCTGGCCCTGTGGGAACACCCAGGCACTCAGCAAGATGGGACCACCGACAGGCTTCTTCCTGGCAGCCTCGTGGAAGGTGTGCTCAGGGACACGCTCTTCGGACACTCAGAGGGACACAAGAGGGTCTCTGGAGAGGGAGGAGGGGACCCAGCCAGGTGACTCACAGACTGGCCCCCCATGTCACACAGCCCGGGTCTCAGCTTCGATTTTCTGCTCCCCATGCAGGTTCTCCATGTCCTGGAGCTGGGCCACGCTCTGTCGGATGGCGATCTCGGGGCCGCCTCCATACAGGTTGTTCAGGTAGATCCAGGTCTCTTCAGAAATCTGCCCATAGTCAGCTCCTGCAGGGCACAAGAGGCACACCTGGGCCAGGGGCTGTGACTGTGAGGAGAAGAGGGGTCCACCCTGAGCAGTGGGGGCTCCAGAGAGCCAGGCCCCCAAGGGCAGGAACAGCAAGCACCGGCTTCTATGCAAAGCCGTCAGACGGAAATCTAAGGATTTTCCAGAGAAATGTCATTCTGCTGAGGGCCCCAGAGAACACAATTCTGGCTGCTGTCCCTTGTTTCCCAGGGGACAGGGTTGATGTAAGGGGCACGACAAGGCCATCAGAAGGTGGAAGAGGTGGGTAGTGTGAGAGGTAGGAGGTAGGGGGCCTGGAGGACCCACACAGAGGCCAGCCGTTGGGCCTTGACTCGACCAACTCTAAGACAGGGGCAAGGGGGCTCCAAGAAGGACCAGGAGTGGGCAGCAGCCTACAGCCAGGAGAGGCAGCAGGGAGCCTGGCCTGGCCCAGGGGCCAGGGCCAGAGCCGGGTGAGACTCACCCTGCTTCAGCTGGACGTGGCCACTTCCTTTGACCTGTGCGATCCTGCTGTTGTCAATGGGCCCGGGGGGCTCTGGAATGGATGCAGCTCAGGCTCAGTGCCTGTGGGCTTCTCCCACCCTCCAGACAGCAGAGCCACCTCAAGTAAGACTCAACACCCGCAGTCCTGCAGAGGCTGCCCTGGGCCTCAGGGTCAGCGTGAAGTCATTAACGGGTGAGGCCCTTGGAGCACCAAAAGCCCCCCGTGTCAGTCCCACAGTGAGGAGGGGCTCACGGCACCCTTAGATGGGCGGAGGTAATCTCTAGGATGCACTCGACAGCTTCTGGCTCCAGAACGGTGGTGGCAGGAGCCGGTGGCGGGTGGGCAATGCCCTGATCTCCACCCACAGCTGCTGCTCACTGAGCCCCTCCCCACGTGTCATCTTGTCTTGTTTAATCCCCAGGAAGCATGTGAGACGAGAACTTTACGGAGATGGAAACCGAGGCTTGGAACAGGTTAAGTAACCTGCCCAGGGCAGATCTGGCAGAGGCAAAACCAGAGTCGCACCAGGGCTAGGAAGCCAGAGCCGTGTTCTCAACCACAGCCTCCCCTGACTGCCTTGGCCTACACTAGGGACACCGCTGGATGACCCCAGCACCCTCCCTGACCTGCAGGGACTGGATGGCAGCGAGGGCCCTTCCCTTCCCAAGCAGTAGTGGTGCTTGCACTCCAAATGAAGGGCACATGTCCAGTGCACGGAACCCACTGGCTCTGCTCACCCTGCCAGGCCCCCAAGTGCCAGTCTGGGAGCCCAAGTGTGAGGCTTGAGGATGGCCACATCCAGGCCAAAGCCCGGCTATGCTGCTCTTTGCTGGGGACTGGGGGGACTCTGGGAGATCCCTAGAGATGGGGCCTATTCCCGCCTCTGTAAAGCCAAGGGGTCAGATGACACAGTGTCCAGGTCCTTTCCTGAGAGGCCACACCCATCTATCAACTACAATCTATCATTTAGGGCAAAGGACACCTCTGAGTAAAGGGCCTTGCAGGAGGAAGCACAGCCTGCCCTGGGCACCAGCAGGAAGTGGAGTGGGCAGGGCAGAGCAATGGCTTCCTGTCACTCCCCGCAGGGGGGAGGCCGGGCTCTGGAGAGCAGACAGCTTGGGACTGCAAGAGCACTGTGTCCTCTGCTCACTGCAGAGAGGTGGCGCCGAAGACCTGCCGCAGGCACAGACCCTGGGCACCCTGCGAGGATCCAGGGGCCACTGCGCAGCACACTCATCTGTCAGCAGCCGCTGCTGTGGGCGGGCCAAGTGCCAGGCACCAGGGCTGCTTGACTTACCATTGTCCTTCCCCTTGACGAAGGCCTCCCACTCACGGAACCACTGCATGCTGATGCAGTAGATGACACCTGGCGACTCCTCAGCCTGGAACGCCTTGTTCAGCTGTGCAGGTGGGGCGAGGGCAGGTCAGCCTCGCACCTCCCATCAGCACAAACGCCCCTGCCCGGTCCTCACCCCCGACCCCTACAAACATACTAGACACTCACAGTAGAAAACTGAGAACACCCAGACAACGTCAAAGAAATGAAGAATCCCACACTCAGAGACGACCGCCGGCAGCGCTCTGGTGAATCTCTTTTCAGTAACTGTCTTCTAGCCCAGCTGACATCACACGGTAGGTGCTACTTTCCCCACTTAGCAGGACATGGCTATTTGCTCACATTTTGAACTATTCTGACAGCATCTTTTTTCAATGACCACAAAGTACAGGAGTTCCTTAGTGTCTCTTGCCTGGCCCTCCACTGCTGAATGTCAGGTGGTCCCTGCGTCCCCCCAGTATAAGCAGTGCTGCAGGGAGGGAGTGTGATTGGGAGCCTTGCCCTCATGTGGCTCCTGCTGCAGAAGGCCCTTTTCTAAACAGGACTGCCCAGTGGGTCCTGCTCTGCAGCTTGCTTATCTCTTCCCGCTTATCTTGGCACCTTCCCACTCAGTTTGTGGAGCCCAGCAATTCTCAGCCCAGGGGGCAATGCCTGAAGGTGATTTGGGTTGTCACTGGCATCTAGTGGGTAGAGGCCAGGGATGCTGATAAACATCCAACAATGTGCAGGACAGCCCCCACAATAAAGAATTACTCAGCCCAAAACAGCAGAGCCAAGGTTGAGAAGACACATCTACCCTACTCTTTTAATAGGTGCTCAATGGTACACCAAGGAGAGGAGCCTGAATTTACTAAACCCAACCCCTCCTGCCAGGAAAAGTCCTCTGACCATGCTGGCCTCCCACAGAACACTGCTGAAGAAGAGCGTTCTTCCTGATGGCACTCGGCTCTTTTGTCCCAGGTCCCCATGTGTCCAGAGCCACCACCCTCCCCACCAGTGCACCTTAATGAAGGTGTCGATCTCAATCCTCCTGCGCTTAGCCAGTGCCTCGATCTCCACCTGGCAGATGGAGCACACGTACAGATGGTTCACGGCGGGGCCGCCCCCAAACCTGCACCCAGAGCAGAAGGGAGAGAAACACCAGCCCTGAGGGGCGGGCCCCAGGGAAGAGAGGTAGCAGCCACGAGATGGAGCACACGTACAGATGGTTCACGGCGGGGCCGCCCCCAAACCTGCACCCAGAGCAGCAGGGAGAGAAACACCAGCCCTGAGGGGCGGGCCCCAGGGAAGAGAGGTAGCAGCCACGCCCCAGCCCTGCCCGTGGGGTGCCCCCTCAGCACCCTGTTGCATGGCTTGTGTCGCCATCTGTTGTCCTCACCAGACTGTAGGTGCCACAGAGCTGGCAAGGGCTCCTGCATGTGCACAGGACCCTACAGAGCACCTGCTCATGGAAGAAGGACAGATTGGTGCTCTCACTTCCTGTCCCTGCTATGGGGCAGGAGCTGTGCTGGCCAAGAGCTTCCCCAGACAGACCCTGAGGACAACGTTATGGGGAGGCTGCAGATAGCACAGTATGTGTTCCAAGCCTGGGGAACCCTAACAGGATGTGGGGACACATCTCCCTGTGCATTTCTGACCTACCTCTGGCAGCTGGGCCGGGAGATCTGTTCCTGTCTTGCTACTGGACACAGCAGAGCCAGGCCAGTGATGCCAGGGCAGTGACCCCTTATGGGTCCCTCCTTCCCAAACTGTCTGAACATGCCGGTGGCTGTGGCAGAGCCTACCCACCTAGCCACAGAGTGACCCAGACCTGGGAGAGCCACCTGCTCTTGGTGTTGACAGACTTGACCCTGGAGGCCCCCAGGCCACAGCAGCTTCCACCATCATGCTAGCCCAAGCCCACAGTGCCCAGGACTTCCCATTTTTGCTCAAGCCCGTTTCTGTCCTTTGTGACTAGAAGGATCTAACTGTATTCCCACAAATGCCATGTGTCTTTACCAATGAGACAACCAAAGGCAGGGCTGCCTAGCTGGAGGACAGCAGGGGTCCTGCGGCATCCTCCTCCCACTTCCTTCTTGCCCACCGAGCCCCGGCCAGCATAGAGGCAGGCTGGCCTCCAGGACACCTTACCTGTTGTAGAGGTGCTCCCAGACGTTCTGGGGTAGGATGACCACCAGGTCGTCGATGTAGTGGTACTTATTGGGCGGGATGCCTGCGGAGAAAGGCACAGGGAGGGAGTGCCAGGGCCTGCCCACCTGCACCTACCCCGCACTCCTGCCACGGCGAGGGTGCCTCACCTCCATGGGAGCAGAGGAAGGTGTGGTTGGTGATGGGCCCTGGCTCTGCGAAGGTGTTGAACTTGTTGAGCCACTCGCGGGACACGTAGAACCGCAGCAGGCTAGGCTCCCGCATGGCGGCCAGGGACACCACCTGCTGCCGCTCCCGCACGGCCTCCTCGCTGCTCTTCCTTGGGCAGGTAGGGCAAGCAGATGTGCCATGTCCGGGGCATGTGCAGAGCCTCCCCCCACCGTGGTGTGACCGGGGCCAGCCAGACTGCCGGTGCCTTTCCTGAACCCCTCGGTGACCCCCTGCATCTCAGCAGCCACACCACACCCCCCATGGGGACTGCTGCAGCATCTCCAGCCTGACTTCCTGGTTTCCCCACAGCAGCCAGAGGGCTTTGTTAAAAATCCAAATCCTCACTCCCCTGGCTTAAAACCCTTCCGGCAGCAGGTCACAGGGCAAGGGTCAGGCGACACTCCCTGTTGTCCAGCCGGACCCCACGACACCTACCTGTAGAAGAGCACATAGGCCTCGGCGTTCTGCACCACGGTCTCATGGACCTCAGTGACGTACTGGTCGTCAAACTCATACCACTGCCCATTGATCACATTCTGGCAGTAGGCAACGTAGTGGCCACCTGTGGGGGCACAGCAGGCAGGTTACAGGAACCTGGAAGAGGGGATGGTGGGGGGAGGCGGCGCCCATCAGGGTGGTTGGCCAGACTCACTGCCTGCCGTGCCATGGTGGCAGATGACCGAGAGCAGGTCGTAGGTGGTGATCTGGGACGTGCACTCCTTGGCAAGGAAGGGGCGCAGGTCAAGTCCCTCGAGGGGGAAGGAGACATGGCTGCTGATCTTGAAGGAGTACATCACCTCATGCCGAAAGCGCTTCAGGTGAATGCACAGGATCTGAGGGGGAGCAGGAGGCACCAGTCACTCCAGGTTCATGTAGGCAGGAACAACAAGAAACCTCACAGCTGAGGCCTTGCAAGGAGGCCTAGACCAGCTGATGGGGTCATGCCCACCAACTCCACCTGAACAATCAAAGAATTCCACATGGAAGCCAGACCAGGCCCACCATAAGGCACATGGATCACTTACAGGCTCTGCCACTGAGGGAGACTGGCCTGCGAGCTGGGTTGGTCTGTACGGGAAGCAGACGCTGTCACCAGCCCATCAACTTCAATGTCCAAAGAACTCTGACAACCAGTCTGTGGGCACTGACTTTAGAAGGCTTCTCCTCAAGGTCCCCAAACCCGCGCAGGACCACCCCAGGAGCCCGTGTCTTGGGTCACTCTCTTGCTCCAGCCACACGGCCTCCGCTGGTTCAGCCAAACCCATCCCTGCTTTAGAGTTTGCCCTCTGTTCCTTCCCCACTCCCCCCACTTACTTCCCGCCAGCCCTGGCCGGGAGGAGTCCCCTCCTGCCACTCTGATCTCCACAGGGGCCACAGCAGTCTCACTCAAGGTGGCACTCTCAGTGGCTCCCGTGCCTGCTTCCCACTGGGCACTCACAAAACATGCCGAGAGAGTTACAAACTGAAAACTGCACCCTGTGCCCTTCCCAGGATGCCTCTCAGCCAAAGCAACAGAATCTCCACGGGGCCTCAGTGCAGAGTCGGGGAGTAGCCTGCCAAGGCTGCTCCACTCACCTCAGGCAGCCGCAGGACCTTACAGTACTTCACGCCGTTGCGCAGCCTGGGGACGAAGCACGAGCCAGTGATGTCAGTGTCCAGCGGAGGGGTGGACCCAGGCAAGCAGCCCTCCCACCTGGCCACTTCTGGGGTCAGGGCCTCTGGGGGAGGCCAGGGAAAATAGGGGGAAATGGACACTTAGGAGGGACCCCAGGATGCACACACTTACTTCTTACACCGCTCACAGCTGTACATGTTGTCACCTAGAGCAGCAAAACAAAGGGCCAGGGGTTAGCAGTGACAGAAAACAGGGACAGAAAAAGTGAATATAATGATTCATGCATAAGAAATAAAACCCGGCAGGTCCTGAAGGGAGGGAAGACCCTGGATGGACCCCAAAGACAGGATCATAAAAAGGAAAAGGGATATATTTGATCCTAGAAACACTTAAACTCCTCTAAGGACACCATCAAAAACAAAATTAAAAGGCAAAATGGGAGGGAGATGCAACATTAAAGACAGA